TGTTTCAATCGTTTAAAATATTACTACGCCGTTGCCGAATGCAATTCTGTGGAGACGGCGCGCGTCATATACAAGACTGTTGACGGGACGTGTTTCAGGAATGGCGGTATCATCGATTTACGCTACATTCCTGACCATATGGTCTTCGATGAGGTGAGGACAGCGAGGTTTGCTCTGCATCAATATAATTGACCAGGACCATTTTTTAGCGCATTTTCATTTGTGGACTTAACTTTTTCATCCATCGTGAAGTCCATAAATGAAAATGCGTTCATAAATGAAAATGAACGTCGATCAGTTTTCGTCGACGAGAAAATGCGCTCTCTGCCACTCACTGCAGTGAGTACTACTGAGCTACATTTTTTAGTGTTATAGCTTTGGGGCTTGCATCACTTTGGCAGCTGTCAATTTTGAAAATTCAATCAAATACTGAGACATATTCTACTCATCCCTATTATTGATTTAACTGTCATTGCAAAACTGAATTGCGACTAGTTGGTGTATTTGAAGACGAATTCATTATTGCTCGCACAATATTTCACCATTGCTTTTCTCTCGATTTTGCAGACGCCCGAGTCCTCATGTTCAACTATTCCTGCGACCTATACGCGCACCACCGCCGACAAGTTCTTATCAGCGAACTACAGCAAAACAAAGTTCGATTGGGATGACGACCTCGACGATCGTAAGAAAAATCTCGAGAAATTCGCTGATGCTGACCAAGTTAAAGATGATGCCGCTCTCAATGTAAGTCTTGAATCATTTTTAGAAGTGTCCAAGTATTGACCCAACAAATTTGAATTTGTATTTATCATTTATTCTAGGAGATTTTTACAGTTATTTTTAATATTAGACTTTCAACTTCGTTGTGAATCTGATGTCTGATCCCTTTTAATCTCCTTATTTGCCGCTGCTTCTGCTGATAAAGATGGTTATTAACATTTTCATCAAATTCTTTTTAAACATGTTTTCTGCAGGAAATTCTTGCGTTTGAAAGTGACGATGAGGATGAACTAGAAGGCAATGAAGACAGCGACGTGATGGAGTTCACATCAGAGTTTGAAAGCGTCAGGAGCGAAGACCGAAGCAAGCGCGTGGAGCTCTACAGAGAACTGATGGCTAACCTGCACACCTACGACCCCGTCAAGGAAGCAGAGCGGCAGTTGCTGCAGAAGGCGTTGGGCGATGAAGCGGCCGATGCCATGGATTCAAAAGACGATACACACATGGAGATGGAGGTCGAGTTTAGCAGTGACGAAGAAAGCGATGAAGAGAAGGCTGACAAAAAATCAAAATCAACGGATAATTTGACGCCGTTCGAGAAGTATCTTAAGAAGAGAGATGATAAACAGAAGCAAAAGAAGAAAGCTAAGAAAGAAGCTATCACTGGGAAGAAATTGATAATCGATAAAGAAGATGAAGATATCCCCGATGACCTCAAAAACGACCCCTTCTTCAGGGAAGAGTTGGCACTGCGGAGAAAAGAAAGGTTGAAGCTCATGAAGGAGCATAGAGACGAACAGGACGCTGAGATGGCGCAAGAGGAGCTAGCTAAGGAAGAAAGAGAAGTGAGTGATTAATCTATATAGTTTGTTTACATAAATCTTTCGATTATATACACGCATCCTTGCCGGCATGTATCTCACTCATAACACAACTACTATATTTGGATTCAGGTAAGAATGTCTCCATAGGAAAAGATTAATTAAAGTTCATAATGATAAAGAAACTCACGCTTAAATTGACTTCCCTTTCTGTTTCATTTATGTTTTTTATTTATTCATTCATAATTTTTTATCCTGATAGTTCTATTGAGTTTTTTTCATGTTAATTTATCGAATGACTTCTTTATTATTTATTTGCTTTTTCATTCTATTAATTTCCCCTGTTCATATTAAATCTGATACATTGCTACATTTCTGCTAAGATTTAACATTCACTATTATCAAAAGTGGGCATAAATTAAAGTACTAGGGAAAAATTGTCTTTCTTTGCTATTTTTCTTTCTTGCTATTTTTTCCTTTTGTTGATAACAACAACAATGAACGATATAAAATGAACTTTAAAGTTCTAAGACTAATTTGCTTGAATTCACATAAATTTTTATTGAAGTGAACGACGTGTTTGCGCGCAGAAAGAGATGGCGTTGCTGATGCTCGACGACGACGGCTCGGTGTCGCGAGGTGTGGACATGAGGGAGCTGGTGCAGCAGGCCAAGCAGGACGCGGGCGGCAAGAAGAAGCTCAGTCGCTGGAAGCTCTCCAAGCTTAAGATCAAAGAGAAGAGGTTGGCTAAGCAGGGCGTAGTGCTGCAAAGATCTAGTGTTTTTGCAGTATTTCAACACGCAAATGTATGACGTCACCATTTCAACCATCAATGAACGCATGGAACTAAAACAAAGCTTAATATAAAGGAAAAGCTGGAGAGGTGACGGAATTACCTACGATGTCGGAATATACCGCGTTTACCCTAAGTTCAGGAAACACTTGTTATTTGTTAAGATGTTTTGTCTGACCAGTGAACAAAAATGGTTCACCTGCAAAGAAATATAAGCTCAAACAGAATAACTTAAGAAGGCCACCTTAGGCTTATAGCAACAAGTAATATAATTCAAGAAACAAAAATCCTTAACATGATGATACACTTTTTACCGCCCATCCCTTTTTACCCTGTTTCACAGTACATTCTCATTGTTCTGTGCTGAATAAATGTATATATTGTTCATATTAATCCATAAATAAAATTCTGAACAACATTTTTGAAAGCTGTTTGCGTTATGCAGTCATGCAGAAGCTCCATGCAGCAAGAAATTGAAAAATGAGCTTGCTCAGGCCTCTGCCATCTAGTGGTGAATGAGAAGGAACAATTTTCATCTAAAAATTTTAAGGTTTTCAGGAAATTGTCAGGCAACAGTTAAGATAAGTACCAAAATTCTTAGCTTACCATAAAGGGTAAGAAATTTTCTGTTAGATAATTTTACCATTGGTTTTTTGAGTGAGAAACAATGTTATTTATATGTCATTTAGAGAAGCAGTTTGTCTTTTTATTTTAGACTACTTTGGAATTAACCATTAATGCCGAGCGGTTCCATTTGGAACCAGCGGAAAAAAATGGATTCATAATAAAATTGTATGGACAAATCAATATACTAGTGGATGCGTAGGTTTGATACACGTCTTGGACCGTGGATGTGTTCTGGCAACGTTTGGTTCTGCTGCGCCGACTACTCCCTGCTCAGTTAACATTAAAATATTGTAAGTACCGGGGGTCAGACAGAAGGGCTTGACATCATTGCAGAGAAAGGTAAGTAGTTCATTCTAAGAATATATTATTTATAAGTTAGATGCAGAATTTAATCAATAAAGAGAGTACTTTCAATTCTGTATATGGTATTACGTGATATAATGTTTCTAAAGTCTTTTAGATCATGAAATATTTTGTCTGGTTCCAAATGGAACCGCTCGGCAGTAGTGTAAGCATTCCGGTCATCTCACTTTCCCAGTAGATTTTTTTGTGATATAGTTACGCATTGTATTTCAAAAACTTGTTTGTACTTAGAAATTATTTATTTAGATCTTAGATCAACAGTTTTTCTGTTATTTATTAGTGAACTATTATCTTTAGAGCTGTTAGGAATATATATCCCAAAAGTTGAAATATTTAGAAGTAGGTACGTTGAACACTAGGTATAAGATTGTTCATCCCGAGTCACTTTTTTCTAATTGTATTTTGGCAGATCATCACATGAAATAATTGAGATTTCGAGAGAAGAATAACACAAAGATCAAATATTTGCTACTGAACCTTTCACAGAAGCAGCAACAAACGAAACATACTGAGATTCAGATAACTCAGATGACGCAGCCACTAGCAATTCTGCTTGCTTATCGAGAATAGTCATTGCAGCAACAGTAATTATCACCAAATGTGAAAACAATTACTTTCGACAGAGAAGAAAGTCAACTGCGGTCATATACTACGACATATACGTGGCTAGCCCATGAGATTTAGTTATAAACTTTGGGCAGCAGATAAATCATATGATATTTTTCTGCAATTGAAGCCAATCGGTGGATCTAATAGAAAAAGAAACTTATTCATGGGCTGGAACATGGATTGGTCCCATAAACATGATACAATTGGTCCCAATCCAACATATTATATGTGATATCTATTCTGGTTTCATTTGGCTTCTCAAAAAACATTTGATAAAAAAGAATGGCTAGTGCAATAAATTTTCAAAATGATCAGTTAGGAAATGCAATAATGCAGGAGACCCTAAGTAAAACAATCAGGGCCTATAAGTGCACCCTTCTACTTCGATCCTTGATGAAGTGCAATACAACAATCAACAACATTGGCCAGCAAAGAGACATCAGAAGCACTGCAAATGCAGTGCTTCGTGAACAATGTTGACAACGCACCCACAAACATTCGTAAAATGGGAAACCTTCCTTTTCATTTTGAATGAATGGAAGCATTATATGCTAAAAATAAAATTGTATTCTGCCATTATTGATTTATCATCAGTATTGTCCATTATGAATACGTATTATCCATTACGAATAACCTTGCTTGATTTACCTTTGGAAAAAGTGTTGTTTGAAGAAACGTTATGTTAATGCCGAGCGGTTCCATGTGGAACCAAGCTATAATTTTTCACATACAACGAAAAATAAATATATGAACATATTTTTTGTTTATTACCATCACAAATGATATTCTCATAAGGAACAAAAAAAAATTCAGTAAATAATTCTCGTCATTAATGGGTTGAACTGATTCTAAAGCCTTCACAGCTTGAGCAAGCAAGTGCTGCATGTCTTGTCCACAGGGCTAGTTGTGGCTTTGCGTTCAGTGATTCAGTGCACATCCTTCTCTGGTCAGGTGAATGTCTAGGTGTAAAGACTCTCTCAAGCCGCATTTGATGAAGGTTAGTTGATGTGCATCAGCCCTCCAAACATCAGTTTGCAGAATTGTCTGTCATTCTTGGCCTCACAAAATGTTGGAAGTGATTAAATTATCTATTTTATAATTTTTATTTAATGTTGTTGCACAATTTCCATTAAAAATTAGTGGATTTAAGGACAAGCTTCACTGCATCCTGATCCATTCAACATACCGAAAATCATACTGTGTGCGCTTGCGGTCTTCCAGATTTGCAGTAATTGCAATTATCTCAAAGTAATTTCTAAAATGCAATAATTTCAATCCAAATGTGTTGGCAAGACCTACTGAAGGCAAAAATTTTGCTGCTGATGCAATGCCAAAGATCTTTCAATATTCACTCGCTTCCTGCACCCTTGGCTAGTCGAAAGTAAGAATTCCATGTAAAAATCACTCCATTTTTGTAATTATTATTCTACAAAGTGTGTAGAATAATAATAATATGTAATAATTAATACAAAGCGTGTTATTGTGGTGTCTGGTCATACTCAACATCATATTGGCAAACGAGGGACTTTTTTTAATCAGTTCATGTTTAATTTTCTCATTTACTCAAGATTTAAACCAATATTTTATGTATGAACTATGACGATGCTTGTATCCATAAATGGACCATCATACTTTGCTGGTCTACTTAGAGGACTTGAAATTGAACTTGAAGGAGAGTAAAAAAAACATTCTACTTTGCCACTATGCATCTGGTTCAAACAAACTTTGATGGCATGCCATACATAAGATAAATAGCAAGAGAAAAATAAATAGATACATGAGATGGGAAAGAATAAAATGACTAAGCACTAGATTCAAAGGATCTATGAAATAGTTCTGTCTTTAGACATCAACACAACACCTGCATTAAAGGAGCCAAAATTACAGGAGCTGGCAGACACCAGACTGTTCCATCTTTAGGCATTGGCAAAACACCTGCAACAAAAGAGCCAAAGTTACAGAAGCTGGCAGATGCCAGACTGTTCCATGTTCTGACAGCAGAGACTGGGAACACTCTGTTGGTGACAGTAGACATGATGGTAGATAGACGTGTTGCTGCTACGACAAGGTCTGCTGTTGATGACAAGTGTAATTGTCTTGTAGTCTTATTTTCAAGGGCTGGAATGCTGGCTTAATGCTTTAGCAAACTTCACTAGTTTGGCTTGTTGACTTTGGTCATCAACCTCCAAGCTGCTCAAGCTTGAAAAGCAGGTGCAAGGGAGATTGAAATCTCCACTAATTATCAGGCTTAGGGCTGGATCACCCAGTCCAGCCATCGTGGTCTCTATTTCCTTTAGGGTTGTATAGAAATATACCAATGGGCATGCAGGTGGCCTCTGGACTACAGCTATTCAGTGGAAGCTATTTATGTGGAGTAGCACGTGTTCAACAAAGCCATCAGTTTCCAGATTCCGATCTCAATTCCATCGTGCTTCTTGCAAGAGAGTTCCTAATTTAAACAATTAGTACTTCCTTATTCTTCCTTTCCATTTGGTCTGCAAGATAATGTTGGAATCCTTCCATTGCAAATTCTGCATCAAGTATGTCTTTTTTATGTGCAACACCGTTAGTTCAATCACAAAGATCCCTCCCTTGTTTGCCTTATCTATTGGCATGCTAATCTTGTGATGCGCCCTTTGTGAGAAAAACCCCTTGGTGTTAGCCAGTAGAATGCTAGATTCTTCTCTTCTTGGTGCTCTTATCTGCAGCAACATTTCTCTACCAGGCATCCTTGGCACAGACGTTTCTTCATTTGGTGTTGCATTAGTTCCAGCTGATAGATTTGGTGTTGCATTTGGTTCTTCATGTCTAAAAAAGCACTGAGGGTAACCTCTGTCCCTCCATGTGCATCCCTATCCCATACTCGTGGGATACTCCCTGAAGTAGCTAGGTCATCTCTCCTTCTCCAGGAACCACCCTCTTAATTGATCATTTTAACAGTGTTTCCCACAACCCTATAGCTGTCCTGTCTTTCATGTGATGGTGGGGACTGTGAGGATGCTGGAGGGGCCTGGTGTCCAGCAGGAGCCCTTTGTTGTTAAAGTGAATCCTTGCTGCCCCCTCTTCAGCCAGCTTACTCCATTTGTTCATGTGACTTTATGTGAAGAATCGTGTAGTTGTCATATATGCAATCTTTTTTGTTCATAACATTCCAGACTAGCTTAGGGTGATAGAACATGCAGTTCATTCCGTTTTTGCTCCTTTATTTTGGTGATGCAATATTCTAATTAAGATTTGCTCTTCAAACCATGATTTTGGCCAGGAAAATGTAGTGTGATGAAAATGCCTTCTCAGTGTACTATGTGCTTTATCTCTCATTGCCCTTGACCTGCAGGCAGATATTAACCAAAATACTTGAATTGGCTGTGGGCTGGTTATTGCAAGTTTACAGAAGTCTGGAATCAACACAGAAAAGTTTTCATTTTATGTAGATTGATTGTTTTACTTAAAGCAAGATCTCTTTCATCAAGTTACTCATCATGGACAGCAGGTTTCACCATGTGGCTTCTGACCCCAGATTCAAGCCTCTAAAAGCAAAGAAGACTTTTATATCACCTGATGATAATCGTTTTAAATCACTACAACAGGTTAGTGTTATATTATTATCCTTCAAATATGTTATAACATAGATTAGTTTGTCAATATTTTTACAATTATGCAAGGTTCATTGTTCATTGGACTCAACAGAAAGTATTTAAAGAAAGTCTCCAGTATGAATGAACTACTAATATTTGTGACGTTTGTACAATATTATGTATTATGAATAACATTGCAACATTACTACAACATCCAAGATTTAAAGTCAAATTAATCACTGATGCATGTGATTTTTTATTTCCTTGTACATCATGAAATATTTTTATTTGAATAATGTATGACTCATTTTAATTTATAGTGAGCCCTAATTGAGTGCAAAATTCTTCAGAATGCAGCACTCCACAAAACTGTTGACCCTCGTGGCAGGAAGTTCAACATCAAGCAGTTACGAGCCCGGAAGGATGCAGTTCTTGATAGAACGCTGGATAGGGAGTCCAGTTCAAATTTGTTATCATCTTCAAAGAAAAGAAGAAGAGAAGGCAAAAGTGATGATAATGATTCCTCTTCAGACAGTGATGTCCAAAGGAAAGACTCATCTGACCCAGAAGAAGATGACTCAGACAATGAAGGTTTTAATAATGATGCTGTTGAGCAGTATGTTGAAAAAGATGAAAATGATCAATTGGTAGAGCAAATGCAAGAAAGTAAGTTTTACTTCAAGTATCATAATTTATACTCATTGCAAGTTGGATGAATTTTGATATAAATTTAAATTTTCACTTATGTAATTTCAATAGAGGCTAAAATGTAAAGTAATATATGCTAAATCTATTCAAGTAATTCAACATGTATGGCCTCAACAATTTCTTTATATTTTGCAGATATAAAAGTGAAGACCAAGAAAAAGGTGCTAACAGACAAAGAAAAGAGAATGATGGAGCAAATTCTTGACCCTGACATGGACATAGTGCGAGGTGTGAACACCTACAGTGACTCGGAGCCTTCTTCAGAAGAGGACTCGTCATCTTCTGAAGAGGAGGAGGAGGAGTATGACTGGGGACAGCTGGACAAAGATGCTCAGTGGGATGTTGATGGAAATACTGTTGAGGTTTGCTAATGAATAAATGCCATTTGTGCAGCCATTACGGTTACTCTTATTTTAAGCTATTTGGTTGGTTTTTTAGCTTAGTTTGTTTTGATTAGGTTGTATAAGGTCGATAATTTTGTATTATGTATAAACTAATGTCCTAATTGCAATATTTAAACGACATAAAGTTCTATTCTTTTGTTCCTTTAATTATCAGCTTTCCTCTTGAATACCATGTTAGTTACCAGCTTTTCTTCTCAGGAGACCAAGCGGCTGGCCGTGTGCAACCTGGAGTGGGATCGCTTCAATGCTCAGGACATTTTAGTTGTTCTTAATTCCTTTGCTCCAAAGTTAAGTATACAATGCCAGTACCAAAATTACTACTGTACTGAGATTTTACTATTGACCACTAATTATTTTCAGTGTAAGAAAAATACATTTTTGCTCGTTGTTTATGATAACAAGTAAAAAGCCTTTTTTTATTAGCAACTTCTGCCAAAAATGACATGAATAGATTCTTCTTTACATCGTTTTAGAATTTTTAAAGAAGAATGCATCATGCATGTGAGTATGTCTGGTGTAACATTCACCATCCAATGTTTTATAAAGATGATGAGTGCTGCATTTGTTGTGGCAAGCTTTTGTAATGAACTTGATTACCAAATTTATCTCATAACATAACATAACATAGTGATGTCGGCTCTGAAGTGTAGGCCCNGCTGTGGAGGACATAGCAGTTTGTTTGTCTAATTGGCTTATAATGTCATTGTATCGTATCGTCTGCTTCACTTGTATTGTCTAATTGGCTTGTAATGTCATTGCTTGTATCGTCTACTTAACTTCTATCGTCTACTAGACTTGTGTTGTCTAATTTGCTTGTGTTGTCATTGCTTTTAATTAAGTTTCTGCCATTACCGTGCTTAGTACGAATGTTGAAGTAGAAGGAGGCACCTTATAATGAAAAGATTCTTTACACATGGCTGAGAATCCTTATATTTGATGTTTAGCTGAGTGTTTTTCAATGCCATGTCAAATATTAGTTACTTTTGATGATTAATCTCAGTTTGTGTCATGAGTCTTGAGACTTATTTAATCAGTCTACATGAATATTTTAGTCCTAATTATTCCTGCGTGTAAGTATTTAACTTGAATTAGAATTAGTTCAATTGTATATGCATTAACTAACAATCATTTGAAATATATGACACGTTCAAACTTCAGAATTTTTTCCATTTTATTGAATTATTTATTTCAGTTTACCGCCGTTTGTGTTTAATGCCTACAATATATATCAAAATGTTATGTTAAAATTAAAATATCAATTGTGCGCTGTACTAATCGATATGCAACACTGTTTTTTACTGATTATTTTTCTTGATTTCTGCGTAGGTATTGCACTTTGAGGTAAGTTAATTCTTAGTTAAGGGAAAATGTTAGATTTGCAAGCTTCAATCTGATCTGATGACATTGTTATCACTATTAAAGGCTAATTAACGAATCGCCTAATTTTTCTTGTTTTCAGATGACGAAGACCACAATGAAAAAAATTATGAAGCTATGCGAAAATTTTGTTTCAATCGTTTAAAATATTACTACGCCGTTGCCGAATGCAATTCTGTGGAGACGGCGCGCGTCATATACAAGACTGTTGACGGGACGTGTTTTAGGAATGGCGGTATCATCGACTTACGCTACATTCCTGACCATATGGTCTTCGATGAGGTGAGGGTAGCGTGGTTTGCTTTGCATCAATGTAATTGACCAGGACCATTTTTTAGCGCATTTTCATTTGTGGACTTCACGTTTTCGTCGACCGTGAAGTCCATAAATGAAAATGCGTTCATAAATGAAAATGAACGTCGATCACGTTTTCATCGACGAGAAAATGCGCTCTCTGCCACTCACTGCAGTGAGTACTACTGAGCCACATTTTTTAGTGTTATCGCTTTGTGGCTTGCATCACTTTGGCAGCGGTCAATTTTGTATATTGAATCAAATATTGAGACATATTCTACTTATCCCTATTATTGATTTAACTGTCATTATAAAACTGAATTGCGACTGACTAATTGGTGTATTGTAGGACGAATTCATTATTGCTCGCACAATATTTCAGCATTGCTTTTCTCTCGATTTTGCAGACGCCCGAGTCCTCATGTTCAACTATTCCTGCGACCTATACGCGCACCACCGCCGACAAGTTCTTATCAGCGAACTACAGCAAAACAAAGTTCGACTGGGACGACGACCTCGACGATCGTAAGAAAAATCTCGAGAAATGACGAAGAAAGCGACGAAGAAAAGGCTGACAAGAAATCAAAATCAACGGATTATTTGACGCCGTTCGAGAAGTATCTTAAGAAGAGAGATGATAAACAGAAGCAAAAGAAGAAAGCTAAGAAAGAAGCTATCACTGGGAAGAAATTGATAATCGATAAAGAAGATGAAGATATGCCCGATGACCTCAAGAACGATCCCTTCTTCAGGGAGGAGTTGGCACTGCGGAGAAAAGAAAGGCTGAAGCTCTTGAAGGAGCATAGAGACGAACAGGACGCTGAGATGGCGCAAGAGGAGCTAGCTAAGGAAGAAAGATAAGTGAGTGGTTAATCTTTGTAGTTTGTTTACACGAATCTTTCGATCATATGCACGCATCCTTGCTGGCATGTTTCTCACTCATAACACAACTACTATATTTGGATTCAGGTAAGAATGTCTCCATAGGAAAAGATCAATTGAAGTTCATAATGATAAAGAAACTCACGCATAAATTGACTTCCCTTTCTTTTTCATTTATGTTTTTTATTTATTCATTCATAATTTTTTCCTGATAGTTCTATTGAGTTTTTTTCATGTTAATTTATCGAATGACTTCTCTATTATTTATTTGCTTTTTCATTCTATTAATTTCCCCTGTTCATATTAAATCTGATACATTGCTACATTTCTGCTAAGATTTAACATTCACTAGTATCAAAAGCTGGCATAAATTAAAGTACTAGGGAAAAATTGTCAGATCTTTCTTGCTATTTTTTCCTTTTGTTGATAACCACAACAATGAACGATATAAAATGAACTTTATTGAAGTTCTAATACTGATTTGCTTGAATTAGCATAAATTTTATTGAAATGAACGATGTGTTTGCGTGCAGAAAGAGATGGCGTTGCTGATGCTCGACGACGACGGCTCTGTGTCGCGAGGTGTGGACATGAGGGAGCTGGTGCAGCAAGCCAAGCAGGACGCGGGCGGCAAGAAGAAGCTCAGTCGCTGGAAGCTCTCCAAGCTTAAGATCAAAGAGAAGAGGTTGGCTAAGCAGGGCGTAGTGCTGCAGGATATTGACAAGCAGACCAGCGTAGACCACAACGCTGCTCCTGTTGCTGCCGTAAGCTGATCTTGATCATTGTTCATAATGGATGTCGAAATAACTTTAATCGCAAACTAACGGTTGTAAATATGAGTTGCAATTGCAATACCGAAAATAACGTTAGTAATTGTATATTTAATATTTTTGTCGTAGTTATAATAATTAATAGATTTTATTTACGAATTTTCATTATAAAAAACCGACATATACGCGTTAAATCGTGCCTATTTTGCGTCATTGTAACGTCATGTGTTCGAGCCACTTTAGAATAGAATACCTGTTGTTAGTGCGCCTTGTGCTAATTTGGTATGTTTGATGCTGTACAGAAAGACGCGGTCACGGACGAGCGTTTCTCTGGGATCTTCAAGAACTGGCGTGCAAACTTGGACCCTTCACACCCAGAGTTCAGCAAGCACCACACGCCCTTCATGGACTCCCTTGTTGAAGAGGTGCAGGCTGGTGCGCGCGCCGGCAAACAGACGAAGAAGCGCCGTACTCAGAAATAAATTGTTCGTGTCTGCCTGTCTTTGAATTACGTTTTGTTCACGTTTCTGTTTATTAATTTCTCTTCAGACTAGTGGACATTGAGTACACATTTAAAATTTGATTTACTTAAATTATTAATCATTAGGGATTTACCTTTTGAATATTTTCTTTGGTTAGGTGAAAAATCTTGCATTACGGGTTTGTTCACAAATGTTCAAGCTAGTATTAGATGACAGAATAAGCTTGTTTAAAAGCTTGTCTCAGGTCGCAGTATAAACGGCTTCTCAATGTCGTAGTAGCTATTCTAATTCAGTCCAAATAATGGAGAAGTTTACAACCTTCTTTGAAGCAAAATCGATGAATTCTCTGGCCATTAACCACTCGTTATTTTCTGAAGAGGCTTGATTGTTTTTTTCTTGATGTCGCACTGGATAATTCCTGCCTGGCCCGATTAAATATAAGCGTCTGGTAACTACGATAGACTTGTTAGAGTTTTCTCCTTGTAAACAATAAATATTTGACGTTTCACAAATTTTACTAGATGTTTTACCAATACCGCCATCATTTTCATATTCATTCCCGGGCGCAAGCATGCTATTGAGTAGAGTAGTCAATGAGTGGTTAACCAGTGGTTAAAGTTCAGAGTACCAGGATTGGAGCAGAAAGGTACGGGTTCGATCCCAGCTTTGTGCGACAGTTTCTGGTCAGAATCGATGAGGAGGCCGGGCGGAATCCGGGTCTTCGTACCCTACTCGTAGGGTACGGCCGTATGGGTGGGTGCATCTTAGTGTCGAAATGAGAGTTTTCTGCATTACCGGCAGCAACGTCACTGTTGAATTTGAGCAGTGAGTTGCGTGTTCGAGACCACATCAAGCTGTGAATGTTCTGCGATGTTAAGAATCGGCGATAGGCCTACGGCCTAATAAACGCTGGAACCGCTATTATTATTATTATGCGGTTAAGCTCACCATATTTATACTGAGCCTTAGTTACAGGGCTAGTTTAAGAGCGAAATTTTGTGGCCAACTACTGCGCACTCGGAGATGTTTAGTGCCGTCAGTGATGTAAGAGTCGTCAGTCTCCAACAAAAAGATTTATTTGAAAAAGAATTCATTCATACATTCATAATAACACGGTAATTACTCCATAATTGAAGAAAAAACCCACGAACGGTGGAGCGCGCGCATGAGGGCAATGGAGAACGTCTTGATATACGGATAACATGTAACTTCATTTAAGAATGCTTAAAAATAACAGGTTTCAGTTACGGTCCGCCTTCAGCCAGCCTTATATGGCTGACTGGAAGGCAGGTAGCGATGTTGCTGCCGCGGTGTCGGCACTCAGGGAGTTCCATAATCTTATGGCCGAAGGAAAGAAGGAGTGTAGGTGGACGTCGGTTCTGCTGCGTGGGACCTGCCGCTTCTGTTGGTGCCCCCTTTTTGCGCGTGTGACTGTTAGGCACAATCCTGAAGGAGGTTGGACATCGACTAGGCAATGCAGCATTTTGTACAGCATGCATGCTTTGTCTGCCTTTCTCCTCAGATGGAGCTTTTGTAGCTTAAGCCTGGCTACCATACCAGTGGCACTGGATGTGGGGCTAAAGTCTCCCAGGATTCTGCGGGCCGCTCTGCGTTGTACCATCTCATGGGAGGTTTTCAGGTGCTGCTGATGCGGATCCCAGGTCGGTAATGCATAGTCTATCACCGGTCGTACGAGGCCTTTGAAGCAGTGAACTTGGACTTGTGTTGGGCATCCCTTAAAATTTCGACAGGTGAACGCGCAGGACTGGTTGGCTCTGTCTGCAGTTTTTCGATGTGTTTCCCCCAGTGCAGAGTTTCTGATATTTCGACGCCGAAGTACTTGACGCTGGAAACTTGTTCCAGCGACATGGAGCGATTAGGTGGTGGGCACTCTATTCCTCTTCCAGATGACTGACATCAGGTGGCATTTGTCAACGTTGAAGGCCAACTGCCACTTCAGTTCCCACAATTCCAACTTATCTAGGTCTTCTTGTAGTCGTTGCGTGTCAAGCTGTGATCTTATGCCAGAATACATTTGAACTGCTTTAGTTACCTTTACAGAAGCTTCGTGAAAAGAAAATATCACCCAAACTTGATAGGGCGTTGTTTTAATCAGCAACAATAAGTTTTCCTTACAGGCGTGCGAGTTGAGTGCGGTAACTATATTCGGGCGGTGGCATTCATGTTAGTGGCCAGCACTGACCAATCACAAATTTTACTCTTTTATAAGCAATAATTTTACTTAGCCACAGACTACGCTGGAACGCCGTAATGTAGATCAGTGAAACACTGCTCAAAGATATTAGCGCCGTTTACAGCCGTCACAGGCACGTCACTGTTGCTGCCACAGATAATGATTGATCCCTAGAGTCCAGTGATAATTAATTTAATTTTTAAACCATAATATGATCAAAGATCAATGTCAGGAAATGTCCAATATGGACTTCAAGTAATGTTCTAGTGGCAAAACAAACTCCAGTTCCAAAACATTTGTACCGAAAGAATAGAGAAATTGTGATCAAGTTTGATTACGCATCGATAGAATGAGGAAACCGTTTGAAGCGAATTACACGGATTCTTGTAAAGTGATGAAAAAACTCCGAAATATTTGTAATCAACTGTCCGTCGATGCACAAAATACTGTAACGATTGATCGTTTAAAACCGGTACACTTGCCTACAGTAGGAACTGTACATACCATTCCTGAGTAACTAACTGGAAACGCGATCAATCCTGAGCAAATAAAAACTACGTTAATCCCTTAGATGATTGTGACCTCCGAATCAGACCAGAGAGACTCCCCGTCAGGTGCGGTTGTTGTGAACACGTCGGCTCAAAAAGTGGTCAAACTTACCCGGGCGGTCAAAGTAACCCCCTTTTACGGTACCAGCATTACCAAACTTTAGAAATTGGTTAAAATCTTGAGTATATGAGGAAATTAAAAATGAATTGATTCTAAAAAATCTCTGGTTTGTCACTATGGTTTGACGGTATGTTCTATGCTGAATAATAAATGTATATAACATTCATATTAATCCGTAAATAAAATTCTGAACAACATTTTTAAAGCTGTTTGCATCGTTACGCAGACATGCAGAAGCTCCACGCAGCAAGAGATTAAAAAATGAGCTCGCTCAGGCCTCTAGTGGCAAACAAGAAGGAACAATTTTCACCTAAAAATTTCAAGGTTTTCAAGTTCAATTGTCAGGCAACAGTTATGAAAAGCACCGAAATTCTTAGCTCATCATAAAGGGCAAGAAATTTTCTATTAGATAATTTTGCCATTGGTTTTTGGAGTGAAAAATGTTATTTATATGTCGTTTAGAGAAGCAGTTCATATTTTTATTTTAGACTCCTTTGGAATTAAACTGATTCCAAAGCCTTCAAGGCTTGAGCAAGCAAGCGCTGCATGTCTTGTCCACAGGGCTAGTTGTGGCCTTGCGTTCAGCAATTCAGTGCACATCCTTCTCTGGTCAGGTGAGTGTATAGGTGTAAAGACTCTCTCAAGCCGCATTTGATGAAGATTAGTTGATCTGCATCAGCCCTCTAAACATCAGTTCTCAGAATTGTTCTTGGTCTCACAAAATGTTGGAAGTGATTAGATTATCTATTTTATTTAATGTTGTTGCACAATTTCCATTTAAAATTAGTGTTCCAAAATTTTTGCGGAAGAGCATAGACTTAATTCTTGTTCAGAAAACCACCACTGTTGCCACTGAGATTTCCAGACAAGCTTCACTGCATCCTGATCCATTCAATGTACCGGAAATCTTACTGTGTACGCTTGCGGTCTTTCAGATTTGCGGTAATTGCAATAATCTCAAAGTAATTTCTAGAATGCAATAATTTCAATCCAAATGTGTTGGCAAGACCTACTGAAGGCGGAAATTTTGCTGCTGATGCGATGCCAAAGATCTTTCAATAATCACTCACTCTCTGCACCCTTGGCTAGTCAAAGGTAAGAATTCCATGTAAAAATCACTCCATTTTTGTTATTATTATTCTACAAAGCATTTATTGTGACGTCTGGTCATAGTGGCAAACTAGGGACTTTTAGAATCAGTTCATTTTTAATTTTCTCATTTACTCAAGATTTAAACCAATATTTTATGTATGAACTATGATGATGCTGGTATCCATGAATGGACCATGGACACTCTACTTTGCCACTTTGCGTCTGGTTCAAACAAACTTTGATGGCACGCCATACATAAGATTAATAGCACGAGAAAAATAAATATTTTTCATGTGTAGCAACGGACTAAAAAGGAGAAAATAAAATACTTAAAAAACTTTTTAAAAACCACGTTTTTCTTGTGGACTAAAAAGTGGAAAATAAATTATGGCTAGCCCCAAAAAACATGGGTCGGGCTGTTTGCTCACCATCAAATTTCCAAAATTCGTGTGTTGTGTGCTTTTCGCTTTAATCATAAATCTGCCTGACGCACTTTTTTTGGGGCGAGCCATAATTTATTTTCTACTTTTTAGTCCACAAGAAAAACGTGGTTTTTAAAAAGTTTTTTAAGTATTTTATTTAATGTGCAACTCTGTTAGTTCAATCAATCACAAAGATCCCACCCTTGTTGGCCTTCTCTATTGGCATGCCAATCTTGTGATGCACCCTTTGTGAAAAAAACCCCTTGGTGTTAGCCAGTAGAATGCTAGATTCTCCCCTTCTTGGTGCTCTTATCTGCAGCAACACCAATCAGCCAGGCATCCTTGGCACAGCAGTTTCTTCATCTGGAGTTGCATTAGTTCCAGCTGATACATTTGGTGTTGCATTTGGTTCTTCATGTCTAAAAAAGCACTGAGGGTAACCTCTGTCCCTCCATGTGCATCCCTATCCCATACTTGTGGGATACTCCCTGAAGTAGCTACAGTAAGTGCAATAAAAACTGACACCTAAAAATTAAAATGAGAAATTCATCCACAAAGCCAAATAAAGGTGAAATAAAAAATAAATAATTACCTTAAAATTTGTTTTAATACTTAGCCATTTGACCTTTTGCCTTC